CTCTCATCATCATCAAGGTGGCTAGGAGATGTTAACTACCTCGCCCGGTGTACAGGAGGGCATGGGTTAGATCCAGACCCTGACGCCTGCTGCTGCTGCTGTATATTTGGAGTTTACGTGTCTCTCTCATCATCATCATCACGGTGGCTAGGAGATGTTAACTACCTCGCCCGGTGTACAGGAGGGCATGGGTTCGATCCAGACCCTGACGCCTGCTGCTGCTGCTGTATATTTGGAGTTTGCGTGTTCTCTCGCTCCCCGTGGTCGCGTGGATTTTTCTCCGGGTCCTCCGGGTTTTCCCCTCCACATTTAGAATTAACATCACGCGTTTCGAGTATTTGTCTGCGAAACATGTCCAACATTATAAGCCACTTTCGTTGAGCTATCATTTGTGGCCAGGTCGCTTTTGCAAAATAGCTATACAGCTCAGTTTGCCTTACTTACCCCGGTAAAAAATAAAAAATAGTTTTATAGTGTGCGCAACGTACTGTCGACGTCGGGGTATCTCTCCAAAACTCAAGCGTTTCACTCCCCGCAAGTGACGGATCTCCATCTCATTCTGGTTGGAATGGATTGCCTTCGTGTTGTTGTTGTTTGTTCTGTGCCCTTGTAAGAATAGCTTGCCTTGTTGGGACGTATATCGAAATTGTCGTTATAATTATGATTACACGTAGCACGTAACACGGTCCTGACTTGAGGGGTCGCTACGAGCCTCGTCTCGTCAAGTGGAAGCGCCTCCTTTGTGTGTGAGTATGTTCAACTTCTTTCACACCGTACGTATCCAACCGCGCTAATCGGAGGTGCGGGGGAAGGACAACAAACTAAACGCAGACAAAAGCAATTCTACAGACATTCGTTTTCAATCTAGGTGATTTCAAATTGCACCACGGCTCCCAGCGGCTTCCTAATATCGGAAGGAGGGAAGAGCGTTCCAGACGGCCGCAGAAGCGCATCTGAAAGGGCCGCGCGATGCTGTGACCACCGCCGTCTTTGTTCTGGCGATTAGCAAAACGTAGGAGACACCCTTTACACCGGCGGTGACTCTGGCAAACAAATTAAAATCCCCCCCTGCAGTTGTACAGCAAACGGTGATTAATTTGATGATAACAACAGCGCACACACGCGCCCACAATAGTTAACCTTTTCCCTTCTTTAAAAGTCAACAGCCCATGAGCGCCACCCCTATTAACAACGGATGAAGTTGCTCGAGGTAATTCGCCGCGTAAACAACTTGCTGGCGACGCAGTGAACTCCTTGGGTGTGATACCGTCACCGTGATCACTTTAGCCCCCTTCCTGCGATCCCAGCACCCAGCTTGCGCCAGTCAAGGTGCCAGCAGCTGGAGGCGGTCACGCTCACTCGCGCGCACACAACGCGACACGCGCAACCGGGTGGTGAACTTCTCTTGCGCGTCTACTGAAGAGGAAATTGCAGGCAAGAGTTTGGAGGAAGACGCAAAACAATTGGGCAGTCACGGCTGATTGAAGTTGCCACAGGTGGGAGAGCGCGTGCCTAAAGTTCAAGGAACCTTTCATGAGCCAATGGTCAGTGACTTCTCGAGCAAAGAATGCGTCCTTTTTGGTGATCGCGTTTGCTCTGCGACCGTGATACAGATCGACACGCGCGTGTTTGTGTGTTTGTGTGTGTGTGTTTGTGTGTGTGTGTTTGTGTGTGTGTGTTTGTGTGTGTGTGTGTTTGTGTGTGTGTTTGTGTGTGTGTGTTTGGTGTGTGTGTTTGTGTGTGTGTGTTTGTGTGTGTGTGTTTGTGTGTGTGTGTTTGTGTGTGTGTTTGTGTGTGTGTGTTTGTGTGTGTGTGTTTGTGTGTGTGTTTGTGTGTGTGTTTGTGTGTGTGTGTTTGTGTGTGTGTTTGTGTGTGTGTGTGTTTGTGTGTGTTTGTGTGTGTGTGTGTTTGTGTGTGTGTGTTTGCGTGTGTGTGTTTGTGTGTGTGTTTGTGTGTGTGTGTTTGTGTGTGTGTGTTTGTGTGTGTGTGTGTTTGTGTGTGTGTGTGTTTGTGTGTGTGTGTTTGCGTGTGTGTGTTTGTGTGTGTGTTTGTGTGTGTGTGTTTGCGTGTGTGTGTTTGTGTGTATGTTTGTGTGTGTGTGTGTGTTTGTGTGTGTGTTTGTGTGTGTGTGTTTGCGTGTGTGTGTTGTGTGTTGTGTGTGTGTGTTGTGTGTGTGTTTGTGTGTGTTTGTGTGTGTTGTGTGTGTGTGTGTGTGTGTGTGTGTGTGTGTGTGTTTGTGTGTGTGTGCGAACTTCCCGAGATATACGTGGGGAGCGGTGGCGTAGTGGTTAGCGCTACGCTGCGGTACGAACCCGGCGACCCGGGTTCGATTCCCGCTCACGACCAACACCGGTGACGATTATCTGAACCGGTCCTGGGCCTCCCCTAGGTCGACTCAGCATCAAATGAGTAGCCGGTGCGGTGTGTCGTAAACATCGCCACCGGAGAGACAAAGGCGGCCGGGCGTGGCGCTGTCCACCCACCCCTTACGCGAAACCGTTCCAGACTTCATAGGTGCCACTCGCGAAACAGCACTTGCCCCAACAGTCTGTTACAGGCTATACGGGAGATCTTTGTCTTTGCTGTACGAAATGAAGCAACTCCCCAAGCTATCTGCCGCGGAGAATGAAACGTAATGTGTTGTTTGCGGCAAAAAAATTCAAAACAATTCTCGTACGAGAAATCGTAGAGTCCTGCCATGAGTGTGTGTGTGTGCATATGCACGCACACGCACATTACCTGTGTTAAAGTATGCATCGTAAATTGTTGGCTATCAATGTTCCATTAGAATGCTGCACATTACAATGGTATGTGTGTATGCATGTTGAACTTCTTTCGCACCGTACGTAGCCAACCGTGCTGATCGGAAGTGTCCCAGTGGGGGGGGGGGGGGGGGGGAGAGACACAACAAAACGAATTAAATTAGTTTTCATTTATTTACTTACTGGTGTTGTTTAAAACATTGAATGACAGGGTATTTCTTTCACCAAACAAACGAATTACATCTCAACTAACATACGTTCAAAATATAGTCATCATGATCATCAGCCATTGGACGCCTTTTGTCGTCCTCTGGTCTAACACTTTGAGATGAGGCTCAAAAGAAAGCTGTCTCTGGCGTGGACCAATCAGTTTCAAAGACAATGCATATACTACCAGAGCATGTGTTGTTTGTTTGCGTGTCCACCACAAGGACGTGTGGTTAATGCACACCGGATTCCTTGCAAAAGGTTTCTGTTTGGTGTTTGAAATCGTAATTAACTAATTTATTTGTGGCGACTCCGTCCCACCGCGCACACAAACGCCGCGACACACCAGAAATCGATCCTCTCGTTCTTCACCAATCCCCCGTCGTTGCCAAAACTGCCATAGTCACAAACAAAACTTTGATTAGCGCATCGTGCAGAGCTCGTCGAGAGGAATAGATTGCCGTGTCGTTCACCTGCAGCAGACATTAAATGGACTTAAAAGCTTCGTGACTGCAGGAATTCATATTCTTGGTTCTTTCGGTAAAATCAGGTAAAAAAAACTGAAAATAAAGTAAAAAATAACCATATAAAATAAAAAGAATAAAATATTAAATTGTAAATAATAAAAGCAAAAAACCCACGACCTTTTGATCGCAACGCAAGCAGTCTTCTGTTCTCTCCGCCCGATGAAGACCGCTCGAGTTGCGATCAAAACGTCGTGGGTTTGTTGCTTCAGTTTCTGTTTAATTTATTATTTATATTTTATCTTATATTTTTAAATATATGTTTTTGTTTTCTATTTACGTGACTTTACCGAAAGAATCAAGAATATAGACATGAAATGATGTCGCAACGCAGTTTATGCGAGAGCCGGGGCTTATGGGACCCCCGGGGTCCCGCCATGAGGTTCATTTGCTGGAACCCACATACCTGCATGCTTCACAGCCCAAACAGGTCCTGCGTCTTGCAGGCACACGATGCAATCGACACAACCCATCAACCATGGCCTGCCGCCGAGTGCTGGATTGCAGTGCCATCACACACGGGCTCCTCCACTTGAACATTCCGTCACACTGGGGGGGGTGGCACGTGCCCCCCCCAATGATCCGATCGAAATCCCTAATTTCGTAATTTCGATCGGATCATTGGGGTTTATTAGTAATAAATCGGCATTTTGCGACCCCCACTGCCACTGTGTAGCATATTATTACGTGCCAGGGACTCTATGAGATGATAGGACAATAGTCTGAGTCCATAATTGGCAATAAGTAACGGCAAAGCGGTTATAAGCGACTCACAGAATTGTGCGCAGTTGCGTATACAGGACACGATGCCGATCACCCAACGCGGTTCGAATTCGACCCTCGATCGACGGCTGCGCCATCGCCGCACACGCGTCGAATAAAAAGCAAGGGACAAGTCAAACCAGATCATCGGCGTCGTGATAATTTCTCAAGGGTTGGTAGAAGGCACGCCGCCTGTTGAAGTTATACCCACCAAGCTAAGTGGTACACAACACCAGGCAAGTTGTATATAGAGAGACGACTGGCTGCTGCAGATAGATAGAATGTTGACTTTTCACGTCACTGTGGCTGGAGCACATTCCACATTCAATGATAAATAAAAGAAATGTGAAGAAATGTGAAAATATTGATTCGCAATATTGGGTGTGTGAGTCGGGCTTGGCTAACGTGAGTTTGGAGCTTCGTTAATGAGGAAAAAAACACTTTTAAGTGACTTTCATGAATGCACTTTTAAAGAAGTCACTGCAAGTGACAGCTTTAAGTACATGCACTGTACTGGAACTGCACTGCTGTGACACCTCTCGTGACGTGGCAGAATTGAAAGTTAATTCTAGATTTGAAGTTTTCGTGACTGCAGGGATCCATACTCTTTGGTTCTTTCGGTAAAGTCACGTAGGTAAAAGTAAAAATAATAATACATAATTTAGTTATTATTATTTTATTTTTATTTTCACCTACGTGACTTTACCGAAAGAACCAAAGAGTATAGAATTTAAAGTATTTTACCATTGAAGCGTCTAACTAATCTTTGGCAGGCTGGGACACTCAGCCTTTAAGAAGTGTGGTGATCCCTGCCCATTATCATGATCGATCATCATCAGCCATGATCAATCCAATTCCGAATGAAGGCCTGTCCATCTGTGAAAAACAGCTTCATCATAACATCCTCCACTTTCCGTCTGCGCCATAGGAATGTGGAATTTCCACCAATGCCTATCTTCGTTTGACTTGCGTTTGCTTTCGGACCCGACGACGGAGATGACGCCACGGGGCCCAGTGTGGAAATTAAAACAAAATTAAACGTCACTGGGACGTTTCCAGTGTGTGCACGAACGGTACAACTCCGCTTGCGTCCCTTCCAATCGACCTTGTCAACGTGCTCACCAAAAAAAAAAACCGGTTTTTTTTTACAAGAAGCCAAAGAATGTCGTGCGAGAAATAATTTGCATATATTTTAATCTTGGAACGCGTGTCCCCCAACCCAGTCCCTCGATACACAGGTATACAAGATAGCCACCGGTACTATAAATATATGAGCCGTGCAGAGAAATGTGCATTGAAGACGGAGTGACGATGGCAACCACACGGAGAAGTCCGGTGGACATTGTGGCAAAGTGACCGAGGGACTCATCAAACCGCAGTCAAGTGCCGGAGTCGAGGTGAGATTCGGATGTTTTACCAATTGGAAGAAATCCTTTTTGTGTGTCTGTGTCGCGGGTTAGCACCCCACACTACGAACCCGGTGAGCCCAGCTGGATTTCCGCTCACGGCCAAAACCAGTGACGATTATCTGAACCGGTTCTGTTTCATTCAGACGCTGTCGCCTCGACAGACCTGGTTTTCACCTGAGGACGGCTGCTTGCATTGTGGCCGAAACGTCGTGAGAATTGTTTTATTATGTTTTTTTTTAATTATTTTATTACTTCCCTTCTACGTGGCTTTACCGAAAGAACCAAGAAGATGAATCCCTGCAGTCACGAAAGCTTTAAATCGAAATTTTACATCGTTGTTATTATTATTATTACCATGTGTGCCATCCGAAAGGTGATCAACATCAGCCACGTGCTTATGCCAAAGCTATCGCGCCAAAACGGGGACAAATCCGTAAATGACGAGAAAATGAAATGTTGGGGTGGCCACATTTTCTCAACTCTACGAGTTGGATGGCCCCTCAACGACAAAACGGCCACACGTTCAGTTCTTTTGAACTGGTGGTCTGGACCAGGTTGAGTTTTTTTTTCATTTATAAATGCAGTGCTGCACAACTCTGTGTGCTGTTTTTGGTTCTCCCCCCCCCCCCGCCAGCACCTCCGATTTGCACGGTTGGTTATGTGCGGTGTGAAAAAAGTTCAACATAAGCACATGCATACATAACGTCAAAATGGGGATATTCGTCTTTTTCATGTTTTTAGTTTTTTATGCATTTTTAAGCCTCTTAATTCATACCGCCTCCTTGCCGGTAAGCCTTTACTAACCCAAGTGGCCACAAAGTGCACCTAGCCTGGCACAGGCGCTCTAGTGCCGTCACCGCTGCTTGTCGTCAAATTGTAACCGGTTGTTGTTGTTGTTGTTTTTGTTGTTTTGTGTACAGTATTTAAACAGACACATACACACGAGTGGTACGGTGTATCCTTCTCGAACCTGCAACGTATTACTCCATCCAGCATATGCACACAACCTAAATTCATCGCTCCGTCTCCTACGTGGACGTGGTCCTCTTGACGCGTTCCATTTATGATGTGGTTGCGGCATGTTAACTGCCTCGCCCGGTATACAGGAGGTCAAGGGTTTGATCCCAACCCTGACGCCTGTGTATTTGGAGTTTGCAATGTTCTCCCTGTGGTCGCGTGTATTTTTCTCCGGACCCTCTGAGTTTTTCCCTCCACATTTAGAATCACGCATTTAGAGTATTTGGCCGCTTTAAATGGCCACGTGGTAATACGCCACTTCGTTGAGCTATCATTTGTGATAACCAGGTGGCTTCTGAAAAAGAGCTATATAGTTCAGTGGGCCTTACCTGGTAAAATGAAAGGAAAATAGTCGACCAGCGGTCATCGTTCCTTCTAAGCGATTCGTTCTGCCCGAGCGAACTTTACTTTGCCGCACAGCAGCTTGCACAGAGGGGGCCTTCATACGGCAGTGGTTTGGCTGATGGATGATGAAGTAAGGTTCACACAATAACCTGGCCCTCCCTAAAGTTTGCTTAACCTTAAATGAGTACCTAGCGCGGTATGCACTGTATTACAAAAGCCTCTTTGAAGCAAAGTCCAGCCGGGCGTGTTGCTCCTGTCACCTCGGTGCCGTGTCGGCACTCAACAGACGCTCGCAAACAGCGCTCGTTCAAGCAACATTCGGCTTTAAACTTAGACGATTGTTCTCTCTTCCTGTGTCGGTGCTCGTGCGTTGACTGCTTACACACACGTACGTGCGTTTGTGCGCGTGCACTTGCCCCAACACTGTGTAAAGCTATACGGGGGATATTTGTCTTTGCCGTATACGTGGGGAGCGGTGGCGCAGCGGTTAGCGCGCCGCACTACGAACCCGGGTGACCCGCGGTGTGTAAACATCGCCACTAGGGAGACAAAGGTGGCCGGGCGCGGTGCTTGCCACCCACGTCCTCGTGTGACCTTCCGGCCTTCGTAGGTGCTACTCACTAACAGCACTTGTCTCAGCAGTCTGTTATGGCTATTCGGGGGGTCTTTGTTTTGCTGTATATTCATGTGGCCAGAGTGCAACCTATTCAATCCTTAGTCTACATAAACCGGGCTCCAGTTTGTGAATCTTCTCAATCCATGTGGTTGTAAGCCAAGCAGATGCAACCCATAGCGTTCTTTCTTTTTGTGACTTGTCAGCTGTTGTTTCATTATCTTTACCAGTCTGTCCAGGTTTCTGAGCCGTACGTCACAGCAGGTAATATTCGAGGCACTGAATATGTCGTATACAACTATTTACTTACTCGTTGGTTCTTTCGGTAAAGTAACTACGTGACTTTACATAAAGAACCAAAGAGTATGGATTCCCGCAGTCACGAAAGCCTCAAATCAAGATTGAACTATTTACTTAGCCATGTTGGAATGTTGCTTTTCATGATCGAGTTCGCCTTTCCAAATCAAATCCAGCCTGCTCGTGTCCACAACTTTCTTTCAATAGTTTGGTTCCGGGCTCACCTTCAATAACTGCCCAAGGTACACACATGCTCAGATGGGTTTTCTGAATGTGTCCGTGTCTGACAGACATCTTAAATTATTGTGCGAACTCGTTGTGCACGTTATGAGTTCGATCCCGACCCTGACGCCTGTATATTTGGAGTTTGCGTGTCTCTCTCTCTCCCCGTGGTCACGTGGCGTTTCTCTTCCCGGGTTTTCCCTTCACATTTAGAATAAACACGCGCTTAGAGTATTTGGCTGCTATAAATCTCCACGTGAGAAGCCACGTGGTTGAGCTATGTTTTGTTATGGCCAGGTCGCTTATGAAAAAAAGTCTGCCTGAACTGGTAAAATTTAAAAAAAGTTTGATAATTTTAATAGTTTTGCTCAGGTTGACCTTGGGTCCCACATTGCAGCCTTCTTTCATGAAAATCTTCGACCACAATTTCTCGAAGTGAATTTTATTGGTCGCGGCAATGTCCGTGACGCCAACGTATTTGGGGATGGCTTCGTGTGTTTACTCCAAATTGTGTCTTTCGACTTGAACGTCTTGTAACGTTGCTGTGGACAACTTTATCGAAAGCGCTGTGGTGTCACCTTGCATGACTCCCCTCCCAATGTTTATTTTGCAACCTTCTTGATTTAGGTACGTGTGTGCTCAACTTCTTTCGCACCTTACGTAGCCAACCGTGCCTAATTGGAGGTGCCATGTCAGTGTGGCTGTTCCATTTTTGTAGTTTTATCGAGGCCCTTGGCTTGAGAGAGCTTGGATATCTTTTCATAGTCTGCAAAAGCCAAAAATAATGCTATTTGCTAATCACAAGTTATTCCAAAATCCGATCAATTTGTATTTAACTCAGTTTCTTCCCTTGGTTGGCTGGCCTCTAAATGTTCTGTTATTCTGTTCACAATAATTTTTGTAAATCATTTATATACGGGCGATAAGCTAATGTGCCATTAGATAAGCTAATAGGTTCCCTTGAGTCAGTTTTGCGTGCCATTTTGAAATGTCTCGCATTTCACCGAGCTACCTTCTTTATGCGTGCGTTCCTCCCGTGCAGATCTATCGTCCGGAGCCCACGGTAAGCCATCGACCGATCTTGGCCGGCTTGAACATCCCACACGGCGTCGTCGTTACGCGCACGGAGCATCCCGGCGATGTCGTCTCCCGTCATCGCCAGCAGCGGCCCCGACGGGGGCCTCGGCGGACACGCCGACGAGTCACCCCGCGCCGGCGAGCCCCCTCCGAGGCTGCGCCTGCTCACCGACGGTCAGAACCGCGGCGGCGAGGACGACGCACCGCAGTCGCCCATCTGGGTGCTGAGACCAGAACGGCTGAGAGTGCCGCGCACGGCCGCCGATGACGATGACAACGACGACGATGACGGCGGCGGTGATGACAACGATGATGACAACAACGACGACGACAACAACGATGATGACAACAACGACGATGACAACAACGATGATGACAACAACGATAATGACAACAACGATGATAACAACAACGACGACAACAACGGTGACGATGACGGTGGTGACAACAGCGGCGGCGGCTCATGGACCGAGAGCCCCAGCGGTTCCCCTTTGCCGACGGCGCGGCCCGACCCCGGTGTGCTCTCTCTGAACCTCGAGTCGCTGTCGGAGCCGGGCGACGGCGGCGACTCGCCGGGCGGCGGGACGCGCCAGGCCGGCATGCGACGAGCCGGAGAGGCGGCGGGCGTGGACGGGGGTGGCTTGGCCTCGACGCCCACGTCCGCCGACCGCTCGATCTGCGGCCCCTGCGACGGTGAGTTGGCGACCGGCCGGCCTCATGGGGCGTTGACAATGAGACAAAGATCACACGCTATGTAACACGATTTTTGTTCCTGGGTAGTAAGTGTTATTTTCCAATTGCTTATGCCTCAAACGTACAGAAAATGGCTATTATATACCCCACAAACTTTGCTTTTGTGACCAGGACTTTACGTGAAGGAATGACACAAATGCATTGAAAATAGGTACATTTCTGAATATCACTGTCCTGGTCACAAAAGCAAAGTTTGTGGGGAATAACAGCCATTTTCTGTACTTTTTAGGCATAAGCAATTGAAAAATAACACTTACTACCCAGGAACTATTTTTATTATTACACAGTGTCACCCGTGTAGCCTTCACAGACTGTTGGGGCAAGTGCTGTTAGCGAGTAGCAGCACCTATGAAGGCCGGCACGGGCACACGGTGGGTGGCCAGCAACCACGCCCGGCCGACTTTGTCTCCCCATTGGTGATGCTTCACACCGCAGCAGTTACTCATTTGAGGCTGAGTGGACCTAGGAGAGGCCCAGGACCGGTTCAGATAATCGTCACTGGGTGTTGGCCGAGAGTGGAAATAGAACTCCCGTCACCAGGTTCGTAGTACAGCGCGTTCACCTTTGCACTACCGCTCCCCACTGACAAACACACAAAAGACAAAGATCCTCCATATAGCCTTGACAGGCTGTTGGGGCAAGTGCTGTTAGCGAGCACCTATGAAGGCCGGCACAGCTCAGGATGGGGTGGTTGGCCAGCACCACGCCCGGCCGCCTTTGTCTCCCTCGTGACGATGTTTACATATCGCACCAGGTACTAATTTGAGGCTGAGTCGACCTAGGGGAGACCCAGGACCGGTTCAGATAATCGCCAGTAGTGTTGGCCGTGAGCGGGAATCGAACTCGGGTCGCCGGGTTCGTAGCGCAGCGCGCTAACCACTGAACTACCGCACACACACACATGCACATTAACACAATAATAATACAAATTATGTTAATTTTTTTGTCTCGTGATGGTACTGTTGTGGATTGCGGCGGTTGGTGCACCGGACTGTGAACCCAGCGACCTGAGTTTTATTCCAGGCCAAGAAAAATGCCAAAACATTTATCCAGCAAAGGGTCACCGAGTCTCAGGACTCATTTCCAGGAGAATTCCTTTGCAATGAGATTTTTGTCAGGTTCCATCAATGAGTTTCCGATAACCCATAGTCTGTGCTGTGAACTTCAGTGTGCACCGAGCCTGGCACAGGCTATGTCGTGATGTCATGACCAACTTTTAGTGGCTTTTGGCTGCATCGCGCGCTTTCAGATTTTCGTCGACAGCCATCTGGAACGCTCTGTGCCTTCCGATATTAGGAAGCAACTGGAGCGATGCACTTTTAAACGTAGAATGATAACTCAATTACTTAGAACTGCTTCTGTGTTCAGTTTGCTGTATTACCCCCGCACGTCCGAGCGGTAGTGGAGCTGTCAGCGCTACGCTGCGCTTCGAACCCGGCGACCAGAGTTCGATTCCCACTCACAGGCAACACTGGTGACGATTATCTGAATCGTTCCTGGGCCAACCCCCTAGGTCGACTCAGCCTCAAATGAGTACCTGGTGCGGTGTGTAAACATCGCCACTGGGGAGACAAAGGCGGTCGGGCGTGGTGCTGGCCACTCACCCCCTCGTCTACCGTTCTGGCCTTCATAGGTGCTCCCTAACAGCACTTGCCCCTACAGTCTGTTAAGGCTATACGGGGGGGATCTTTGTCTTTATCTTTGTGTAATTATTCATGCGCTGCCTTACAATGTAGGCAGCCTGGGTTCAATTTCCAGTGGCAATCATTGGCCAGAGTTTATGTGACCCTGTCCTGACTCACTCAAATATTGACCCTTGCCTTTAATAATTACCTGATGGAGAAACAACAGCACTGAGGAAACAAAGGCTGTCTACACGACCCCTTCGTGTACAGTTCTTGCCTTCATTAAAGGGCCGCTCAGCATGACACCACTTCTGGTGGAAAGGCCTCCACTGAAGGTCCCTTCTAAGAGTGTATTTGACCTCATCTTTCATCACTGGCCAGACATGTTAGAGGAGGTGGGAGTACCCACACTTCATCCCACCGTACGCAAACTTCCCATCGACTAACTCTTTGCGCGCACACATTTGTACTGCTGACAAGAGACAGTGGGGGGTGGGTTAGGTGAGGAATCGTGGCCCCCATCGTGTCAACTGCCGCCGCCAGGAGCTCGAATCGAACTGCCCAACATCCGGATTGCTGCTCACCGCCACAACCACCGTGGCAGCGTCTCTTGCCTTAATAGGCGCTCGCTAACGGCAACCCACCCGCAACTCTCCCCCTTTCCAGGCCGCTTCCCGTGGGCTAATCAATCATTGCGCGCGCGTTCCTCTGCCCAATGTTTCCTACTCAAGACACGACGCCAACGAGGGATGGATGTGGCGAGGATTTCAGCAGCGCCCCGACCTCCCCATGCAGGGAGCTGTCGCCCACCATACCCATCAAGCAGGGCTGGCTGCGCTACTGCCACACGCACGATGGCAAGGTGGGTCCCTGCGCGTGCCTCTGCTTCACATCGTCATCATCATCATCATCGCGATCCATGGCGCGGGCAGCCCCTCGTCATCGGTTTACACTCTCCGCTGTCGTGTCTCAACGTGGCTCAAGTAGCGGCCACATCTTTTCGTCGTCGTCAAAAACATTTCTCTGCGAGGTCTTCCTCTGCATCACTCGTGAAGTCAACGGTGGCCACGTGAGCGACCCTCCTTCACCTCGGTGGGCCGCATGCTCGACACCGTTGCTCGTACGCTCATCGTGACCCCCCCCCCACCACCCAACGCGTCACCCCGAGACACAACGAGACCTGGCCACACCACGTGGGACTCCACGCCACGCACTTTGCCCACCGCTGCTCTGTGGCGGCCCGGCCGGCACGTGCGCCCTGGTGAACCAGGATGCACGTGCGTATGTTGAACTTCTTTCGCACCGTATGTAGCCAACCGCGGGGGTGAGGACAACAGAATAAATTAAACTCTGAGCCAGCGGTGGACATTACACATTCTTCTGGCGGCACCGAGTCTGTCCATAGGGGAGGGCAGCCGCCGTTAACTATTCCCAGGGCCGTAGCCATGGAGTCAACATTGGGGGGGACCACATCTTCCAGGGGGTCTGAGGCCCCCCCCCATCCCAGAAAAAAAAATCTCAATTTGAAAACGATTTTCCTGCCTAAAATATAAAAAAAATTCACTAACAAATAGGATTGACTTTTTATATTTTATTTACAATAATGTCTAGTAGTGTATTGTATTACATTTGCTCTGTTTTTTCTTTTTTACCTTTTCTTGTTTAATTGTATGCAATGGCAGAGATTCGGGATTAATAAAGTACAAACATAACCACAATCATATAATATATACTATAATTACGGCCTTGACTACTCCACACAGCGAGAGACATTTTACACATCGCTGAGTGATGATGGGCTTAACGCCTGTGTAGGAGAAGCTCTTGACGCATGGTTATTCCTGTTTGGTGTTTTTTTAACACATCAAAGCACTCGTAATAACTCATAATCAAGGTTTTTGTTGGGGGGTTAGATTGTGCAAGTAATAAATGTGTCAACCCGCCACTCCCCAACGCAGCTGACAAGTAAGGTTTGTCACGAGAGCAAAGCGTGCCAGTTCGTGTGACTGCTTCAGCCCACCGGTGGTGTGTTGGAGAGTACATCCACAACATTTGCGATTTGTGCACGCCCGGAGAGTCGCCTCGCAAAAGCCCCGATCCCATTCCTGGCTCGTCCCATAAGGGGCCGTCCATAAATGACGTCACGCACCTAGGGGGGGGGGGAGTCAGACATTTGTGACGATGTGTGACGAGGCGGGGGGGGGGGTTGAGAAATGTGACGTCGCATCAAAATGCGCAACTGTAAATAAATATAGACAACACGTTCTACTTAATTAAATAGACTTTTTCATAAATGTTTTCTCCTACATCAGAGCGCAGCGCCACATTAAATACGCACTACAATGACAATAGTTTAACGCGATTTGAAGCATGTTTTATTTGGGGGGGTGGGGGGGCAGAGCTTTGTGACGTCATATTTGAGGGGGGGGGGGCTCTGACTTTTTGTGACGCCGTGTGACGAAGGGGGGGAGGGGGGAGTAAAAAAATCGTCCAAAATCCCGTGACGTCATTTATGGACGGCCCCTAACCTATTTCTGCCTTTTCCTTTTCAACTCTCCCTCCTGCCCCCCTCCCCCTACTCGGGGCGAGTGGGTAAGGTGGTCCCATTCAACTCGTCACCCGCACCCCCCCATCCCTCCCTCCCACGTCACGCGGGTGGCGATGCGTTCTCTGCGACTCGCACCGGACTTGTATATTGGCTACGGCCAGACACGGGGGTCGTCTCCTCGACGATTGTTATCGGCTGTGTGTGGTTTTGCTGGTAACCTTTCAAAGTGAAGGAGGGGTGAGGTGATTCGTGTAGTCAACCATTAACCATCACTTTGCGTGCTCGCGTACCGGACCGGATGAGTGTCGAACTTATTAAATCTAATAATAGGGAGCGCTTTGTGCGCAGATCGGCGCTCAGATATCCGTGGGCGGGTTATGGAGGTTGCGCGTTGACCACGCTCGTGAAAAATTTCACCGACAAATTAAAATGAATACAGCAACAATTAATATAATTTCGATTTAAAGCTTCTTTCGTGACTGCAGGGATTCATCTTCTTGGTTCTTTCGGTAAAGTCACGTAGAAGGGAAATAATAAAATAATAAAAATCAAACATAATAAAATACAATTCTCACGACGTTTCAGCGCTGTCTTTCCGACAGCCCTGGTCTTCACCTGAGGACGGCTGCTTGCGTTGTGGCCGAAACGTCGTGAGAATTGTATTTTATTATGTTTTATTTTTATTATTTTATTATTTCCCTTCGACGCGACTTTACCGAAAGAACCAAGAAGATCTTAATATAATTCACAGCCCTTTGCTAATCCACTGCTGGATGAAGGCCGCCCCTCTTCGTGTCGGTTGTGGGGTTTTGTTGTTGTTGTGTTGTTGTTGTGTTGTTGTGTGTTTACCGTAATTCAACCTGCTAGAGATCCGCGGGCTCGTTAAGAAGGAGGTGGGCTTCTCGGTCACGGAGCCGATGTCACTCGCCACTGACGTTAGCCGCGACCGGGAATTGAACCCATGGGGGGGGGGGGGGGGGTACGGGGTTCGTATGGGGGGGGCGGGGGCGCTCACACGTGCGTTTTGATACGCGCATATTAGGCGCTCCTCATTCACACGCGCGTATTGACACGCGTGTTGATACGCGCGCGTGTCGCTTCTGTCGCTAGCCGCTCCGAGCTCGTACCTCAATTTGAGAAACAACAAAACGAGATGTCGCATTCGATCCAACCCCCCCTCCTCCCAATTCTACACAGGAAAAACAACGTGGTGTTGTGGCCTTCATGCATTTTACTCGGGTTGTTTTGGGGGCTTTGCGGTGACATCCGTTCGAGCGATAGGGTGGCTCTCACGAAATGGAAGTCCACTCGCAAAGCCTCGTCCCCTCTTAACGAAGTTTCATTGGCGTGGAGTCAGCTGGGGATGAAAACCAGCGGAGGTGGGAATGTACTTGCGGATGTTGAACTTCTTTCGCACCGTACGTAGCCAACCGTGCTGATGACGACAAGAACGATGTTGCTCTCCACGTGGCTTGTTTCTAAGCTCCAGCAGCTGATGCGCCTCCGATTCGTGCGGTTGACTACATACGGTGCGAAAGAAGTTGAACATCTATATATATAAAATCGCAAATCTGTCTGCAGGGGCGGTTTCTTCATTAGGGCGATTGGGCGACGCACCACCAATGTCATTAAACCACAGAGTCACGCTCGCCGTCACTGCAGACTCTGGATATAGTCCAATCAGCGTCATGTCACGTTCTGTGGAGTACCGCCTCTTTTTGGGCGATTTCCCTCCAGCTGAGAATCGCCCCGAGTGGCCCCATAGACTTACATTCAAAGATGTTTTTTTTCGAACGGGGGCGCTGCAATGCATTCTCTATGGCTTCCGGGAGGGCTCGCCCTAACGTGCTTACGTCATCATACGTGCTTACGTCATCATACGTGCTTACGTCATCATACGTAAGCACGTTTCATCCAACAATATAATTTGTGGCCACCTAGTGGAATCTTTAATAAAATAAACTTGAGTGGTTTGTTTAAATAGTGAGTATAGAAACAAACAAGATGTATTGTAAGAGTCACTTTATTTTTCATTAATATTAAAGAAGTGAAGTTGCCTTTACATGCTTAAGCTGTTAATTTATCCATTGCATGGGTGGACCTTATCCTTATCAATCATCCAGACATTTGCCCCCCCTGAGAGATTTTGCAGGAGCCGCCACTGTCTGTCTGTCTGTTTGTCTGTCTGTCTGTGTGTGTGTGTGTCGCCGGACCATACGCAGTTTCATTGGACGAAATGTGAGGGATTTGCGAGACACGATTGGTCCGTTTGGTTTTCCACGGCGGTTGCCCCTGGCAATGGGTAGCGATGCATTCGCTGCGGGGTGGACGCCATTTTTAATTCCCGTTAAAAATATGCGCACGCATTAACACGCGACTCTGAGGTAAATTCATCAAAGTTTCACGTCCTCTTCACTCCCCCCCCCCCCCACCACAATGTGTGCAATTACTATTATAGGGTCGGTAGATAATAAAATTATAGCGATTAGACAGTATTATTGTAGCGCGGGGGGGGGGGGGGGTAACGGCCCCGGTACCCAGCCTCAGCCGGGTGGGCAATTTAGGCGAGGCCAGAGGCTCTGCACGGTACTAGGCCTCGACACCCCACCACACTATAGGCTGTACATATTACTGCACAGCGGCCGAGGAGATCGTGGCTGGGGGGGGGGGGGGGGGCAGGGGTAGCAGCCCATCTGTGTATATATGTAAGGTTATTAAGAAATATATTTTTCACCCGGGCAACGCCGGGTACTTCTGCTAGTACAGTATATACATCCAACACACAGACGTAACAGGTGACTCCTATAACGACGTTGCTCTTCACTTGTGGTTTGTTTCTTAGCTCCAGAAGCAGCTGATGACGACAACAACGATGTCGCTTTACACGTGGGTTTATTACGAAGCTTAAGCAGCAGCAGCAGCTGATGATGATGATGACATCAATAACGATGTTGCTCTACTCGTGGTTTATTACGAAGCTCCAGCACCTGATGATGATGATGACAACAATTACGATCTTGCTCTAATTGTGGTTTGTTTCGGAAGCTCCAGCACCTGATGATGACAACAATGAAAACGTTGCTCTACTCGTGGTTTATTACGAAGCTCCAGCAGCACCTGATGATGCTGATGGTGACAACAATGACGATGTTGCTCTACTCGTGGTTTATTACAAAGCTCCAGCAGCAGCAGCTGATGATGACGATGACAACAATGACAACGTTGCTCTCTACTCGTGTCTTTGTTTCCGAAGCTCCAGCAGCAGCTGATGATGACAACAATGACAACAATGACAACGTTGCTCCACTCGTGTCTTTGTTTCCGAAGCTCCAGCAGCAGCCAAGCCGCCGGCTGGCTCCGGTGTACGTCGAGGTGAGCGCCGGGCTCCTCGTGCTGCACGGCGGCGCCCCCCCGGCGGGACGCGCTCGCCAGCGCCAGCGGCGGCCGCGGCGGATCTCGCTGGCGGCGTGCACCTGCGACGTCGTGTCCAGCGAGCAGCGCGGCGTCCACGTCCTGGGCCTCTCCACGCACGACGGCCGCGATTTCCTCTTCCACGCCGAGGGCCAGGCCGACGCGCTGGCCTGGGGCCTCGCCGTGCACGAGGCGCGGGTGAGACACGCGCGGGGGTTGGTGCGGGGGTTGAGGGGGGTCACAGACTCGGCGGTAGCGGCCGTTGCTGCTTCTTAGTGGTGTTGTTACTGCTGGTGCTACTACTGCTGCCGCTGCTTCTGCTTGCGGGGTGGACGGAGGGAGGAGTCCATTTGCGAAGGGCACGTTGGGCCAACGTCGGCCCGACGTGCCCCCACTTGAGAACCCGGTCTCATCAAGCGGTCCGGCGATGCTGTCCTCTGGAGCGAACCGGGGCCGTGCCGTTTGGCCGTGCCCGACGCCGGCCACTTGACTGACCGGGCACGACTCGTCCTCTCCCTCTCTCCGCAGGCTCAAGCGCTGGGGCAGAGCAGCGACAGATCCCCGCCCGAAGCGGATGCTAGCGACGTCTTCCCCCGAGCCTGTGAGCAAACTGCCTCCCCGACTCTTCCACCCGCGACACCATCGGAACGATAGGCTGGCACGGCGCAAAGACGGTGGTCACCGCATCGCGCGGCGCTTTCAGATGCACTGCTTCTGCGGCCGTCTGGAACGCGCTCTTCCTTCCGCCATTAGAAAGCCGCTGGAGCTGTGCACTTTTAAATCGTCTAGATTGACGAATTAATTTCTTTAGTTTGTTGTCCTTCCCCCCACACCTCCGATGAGCACGGTTGGCTACGTACGGTTCGAAAGAAGTTCAACATGCTTACGTGTATATCACACTCGTGCCCCTGGAACCCTCGCAGGAGCTGTTCACTTTGCCCTGAAACGTTTCCGTCTCCCTTCTTTTTGTTTCTTTCTTTATAATCTAAGTGATTAACTATTTTTGTTCATTTCACCAGGCAAGGCCCACTGAGCCATGTAGTTCAGATCAGCCTCTCCCTCGATGTCACGGTTTCTGAAACAATATCGGCCGGTCTTCCAAATTGAGCTGTGCCAATCAGCAAAAAGGAATTGGCAAAAACTTTTTTTTTTACTACACTATTTTTTATTTTAACAGGTACGGCCCACTGAGCTATGTAGCTGTTTTCAGAAGCGAACTGCCTATCACAAATGATAGCTCAACGAAGTGGCTTATCGTGTGGACATTTATAGCAGCCAAATACTCTAAATGCGTGATGTTGATTCTAAACGTGGAGGGAAAAACCGGAGGACCCGGAGAGAAATCCACGTGACCACGGAGAGAAATCCACGCAATCTCCAAATATATAGCAGGCATCAGGGTCAGGATCAAACCCATGACCTCCATATGATAAGCAACTTTGGTGAGCTATCATTTGTGGCCATCTCGCTTCTGAAAAAGAGCTTTACAGCTCAGTGGGCCATACCTGGCTAATCAACATTTTTTTGTTTAGTTCAGTTTTAATTCCGAACACCGAAATGATGGAGTTGCACGCACCTGTGCGGAGGCAGTGGGTGAAGGCCCTCATTGCATTGCAAGTGCCTGTTGACATCACACGGTTGTGCAACATTGTCAAAGTTAATAACGAAGCACAGTTCAAGTTTTTATGGGGGGTAGGGGGGGTGGGTTTTTAACGCCTGAAACAGTCGAGCCGATTGTTGCTGCAAACGACAGCATTCACCCAGCCGTCACTTCCTGGGCAATTTTAAAAACCGCCTCGCTATAAACCTCACTATCTCTCGAACAAGGGCAGTGACGGTAAAAAAGAAACCCCTCATAAAACCCAGTTAGAAATCTCTGAAAAGGGTAAAGTTGAGCGCTGAAATGTCTTGCTGATGCCACTGCTCGTGCAGCACTGGCGGAGTCAGTGGGGGTGGGGGGTGGCACGTGCCCCCCCAATGATCCGATCGAAATCCCTAATTTCGATCGGATCATTCATTAGGGTTTATTAGAAATAAATCGGCATTTTGCGACCCCCACTGCCACTGTGTAGCATATTATGTGCCAGGGACTCTATGAGATGATAGGACACTAGTCTGAGTCCATAATTAGCAATACGTAATGTAAAAGAGTTATAAGTGACTCAGAATTGTGCGCAGTTGCCGATCACACGCGGTTCGAATTCGACCCTCGATCGATGGCTGTCGAATAAAAAGCAAGGGACAAGTCCTGACTTACTAACAACTCCTCTATCATTTCTTATTGCTGGAGGTGTTGCCCCCCCCCTACCTGAAAATCCTGGCTCCGCCATTGGGTGGAAGGGCCTCCACTGGAGGTGCTCTGGAGAGGGAATTTTGAGGCTCCTCTCATACCTGTCAACCCACACGGTTTAGCCCCGTATTGTTGTATATGGAAATTGAGTTTGCAGGTGCATATGGCGCTGAGCCGTTTCAATACGGGCACATTTTTTTTTTGTCTATTTGTTTGTGTTTGGACTTTGTAGGATGAACGTTGAGATGTATAAGGGGCACGGGGTGACCAGTAAGGTCTGACTTGGTCTGTAACAAGCTCGGGGCACTGATAAGGGCTTGACAGGTTTGTACCCTTCAACGGTAGCCAGACATCTCGGAAGGGGCCTGAGCACCCACACTCTACCCCACCACGCCCGACCTAGTCGATGCGACCGACCCTCCTGACCCGCGGTCGATCAACATTCTCCTTCGTCCGCTTGAGGCCTTATCCGTGCGCTGCGTGCGTCCCCGTCCCGTGCGTCTCCCAGCGTCGCTGTCCCGCCGCTCGTCCTGGAGCAGGTCGAGCTTCGGCAAGGGCCTCTGGCAGTACGTGGTGAGCGGGGGCTTCGGACGCAAGTCGCGGACCTCCCCCACCAAGGGCGCACAGACGTTCGGGGTGCCCCTGGAGGACTGCCCGCCGTCCGGCAGCAGGGTGAGCCGCAGCCACGCGCCACCATGGCCCCCCCCCCCCTTTTTTTTCTGCACCCCCCCACGCACCCCCCCCCACGCACCCCCACCCCCATGAAACCCCCCCCACCTCCACCTTTGCCAACCCTCACCGAGCAGTGGTTAACTCTTGTGTGGTTGTGTGTCTCTATCTGTGTGTGTCTCTATCTATCTGTGTGTCTCTCTATCTGTGTGTGTCTCTCTATCTGTGTGTGTGTCTCTCTAGCTGTGTGTGTGTGTCTCTCTATCTGTGTGTGTCTCTCTAGCTGTGTGTGTGTGTGTCTCTCTATCTGTGTGTGTGTCTCTCTATCTGTGTGTGTGTCTCTCTATCTGTGTGTGTCTCTCTATCTGTGTGTGTGTCTCTAGCTGTGTGTGTGTGTGTCTCTCTATCTGTGTGTGTGTGTCTCTATTTGTGTGTGTCTCTATCTGTGTGTGTGTGTCTCTATCTGTGTGTGTGTGTGTCTCTATCTGTGTGTGTGTCTCTCTATCTGTGTGTGTGTCTCTCTATCTGTGTGTGTGTGTCTCTCTATCTGTGTGTGTGTGTGTCTCTATTTGTGTGTGTGTCTATCTGTGTGTGTGTCTCTCTATCTGTGTGTGTCTCTATCTGTGTGTGTCTCTCTATCTGTGTGCGTGTGTCTCTATCTGTGTGTGTATTTCATTAACTATGTGTGTGTCTCTGTATATATTACTGGTTAATTCTGTTTGTGTGTCTCTATCTGTGTGTGTGTCTCTCTACCTGTGTGTGTGTGTCTCTCTATCTGTGTGTGTCTCTATATCTGTGTGTGTGTGTCTCTATCTGTGTGTGTATTTCATTAACTATGTGTGTGTCTCTGTATACATTACTGGTTAATTCTGTTTGTGTGTCTCTATCTGTGTGTGTTTCTCTATATGTATGTATCTCGTCAACTGTGTATATGTGTGTGAGCAGCACGGTAGTGTAGCGGTTAGCGCACTGCGCTATAAACCCAGCGACCCGAGTTTGATTCCCGCTCACAGCCAACACCAGTGATAGCGATTATCTGAACCTGTCTCGGGCGACTCAGCCTCAAATGAGTACCTGGTGCGGTGTGTAGTAAACATCGCCACTGGGGAGACAAAGACGGTCGGGCATGTTGCTGGCCACCCACCCCCTCGTGTGCCGTGCCGGCCTTCATAGGTGCTCGCTAACAGCACTTGCCCCTACAGTCGTATTAACACTACGAGGGGGTGGGGGGTGATCCTTTGTCCCCGCAGTGCGTGCCCAAGGTGGTGGAGGCATGCTGCGAGGCGCTGGAGGTGCACGGGGGGCTACGCGCCGAGGGCATCTACCGCGTGCCGGGCCGCACCATGAGCGTGAACACCTTGCTGGAGCAGATCGAAGTGAGCGGCGGCGTGCCGGACACGGAGGAGAAGGTGAGTCCGGAGCCTCGCGCGCCATGCCCTCCCCACGTCCGCGACGCCACCGATTGGGTTTGCGATGCTGCCCGGCTTTTAATTATTAGAAAAAAATGTTTTACCAGGTAAAGCCCAACGAGCTACGTCGTTCTTTTTCAGAAGCGACCTGGCCATCACAAAATGACAGCTCAACGGACGCGGCTTCTCATATGCAGGAATTTATAGGAGCGGCCAAATACGTTGATTATTCTTAATGTGGTGGAGAAAAACCGAAGGACCCGGAGAAAAATCCACGCGACCACGGGGAGAGAGAGATATGCAAACTCCAAATATAGAGCAGGCGTCAGGGTCGAGATCGAAACCCAGGACCTCTTGCATACCAGGCGAGCGAAATAACATCGGTGCCCTACAAAATATATATTTATCCAGGAGAGGCACACTGACTCATTCATGAGGGTCCTGCTGCTGTATTGGGTGTTTATTTCAAATCTTTTTTCAGCCAATTAATGACGAGTCGTGTTTATTATACACGTGGAAGGAAACCGGAGCACCCGGAGAAAACCCAGGCGCGCAAGGGGGAAACGCTATATCCCTGTACAGATGGACACAAATGGCGTTTAATCCACTTGTTGTACCGCCTTCTCCTGGCAAGTCAGGGTATGGCACGGAGAGGAAGTTTCACGACAACGTTTTGTTTGACGACCCGCCAACCCTCACCTGCACAGTGCTGGGCATTCGGAGGGTGTGCACCCTGGTTCTTTGTATTGTTGTTTCAAATATAAACAAAAGAAAGAAGGCATTTTACAGAGAAGAGGCTGCCCATCAACGGCAGAGGAGAAGAGGAAGATCTTTAAGCTAGACTTGAACAGAGGCAGGGAACCGATGGCCAGGTTGATGGAATTCCGGTCCACTATGGCAGCAGCCGGAGTGGCCTCCCACTGCCCAGAAAGTTCATGGGTCCTGAATGAGAGGAGGTGACATGGTCAGCAGACTTTTCGTGGTCGTTCGGAAGGCACATCTTGCACCTCGTCGTGGGATGACCACCGTTGACTTCCAACGAAGTAGTCCTCACTTTAGCGATCCGCCAATGTGATGATGCCCCAAAATGACGAGGTGAACACATTCACGTCGTCAAAGGCTGGCGCTTGACACGCAGACCGAGCGAGACACTGATCGGGTGCCGCTGGTTCGTCTCTCCCTTGCACAGGTCTGGCAGTGCCCCAGTATTGTGGGATCGCTCCTGAAAGGCTTCTTCAGCAAGCTGCCCGAGCCCCTCATGACCTACGGTGGGTAGCAGCACAACTGCATCATCATTGTAAGGATTATTATTTGCACGTTCAACGGAAGAGCACTGTGATCTTTGACGGCAGTCGGATTGTAACCTCGGCACGCAAACTGTCACCGGCGTGGCAGCAGGCACACTGACCGTGAGGCCACCCAGCTTATCTTGCATATTAGATGTAGATGTACGCACGTACGCAAGTATGGATAACTTCTTTCGCACCGTACGTAGCCAACCGCACAAATCGGGGGTGCGGGCGGGGCGGGCGAAGGACACCAAACTAAACACAAAAAGCAGTTCTTGAGAAATTCGTTTTTTTATCAATTTAGAATGATTTTTCAGTTTACTGGTGTCGTCAGACCGTTGAATAATACGGGGCATTACAGCTTTGCTTGTGCAACAACATAATGCGGTCAGCCACAAAGTGAAAGGGGTCGGTCTAAGTGTATTGTAAAAGGTTTCAGTTTGGTGTTCTAATATCATAAACACCTGTTTGTTTAATTGTAAATGTCGTGGGTTTACTCTCCAACACACCAGTTAGTGCTGCACTAGTATACTACACTATACACTACACTATAATTGTAAATGTTGTGGGTTTACTCTCCAACACACCAGTTAGTGCTGAAATAGTATGCTACACTATACACTACACTATAATTGTATATGTCGTGGGTTTACTCTCCAACATACCAGTTAGTGCTGAACTAATATACTACACTATACACTACCCTATAATTGTAAATGTCGTGGGTTTACTCTGCAACACACCAGTTAGTGCTGAACTAGTATACTGCACTATACACTACACTATAATTGTAAATGTCGTGGGTTTACTCTGCAACACACCAGTTAGTGCTGAACTAGTATACTGCACTATACACTACACTATAATTGTAAATGTCGTGGGTTTACTCTCCAACACACCGGTGTGCTGAACTAGTATACTACACTATACACTACACTATAATTGTAAATGTCGTGGGTTTACTCTGCAACACACCAGTTAGTGCTGAACTAGTATACTACACTATACACTACACTATAATTGTAAATGTCGTGGGTTTACTCTGCAACACACCAGTTAGTGCTGAACTAGTATACTACACTATACACTACATTATAATTGTAAATGTCGTGGGTTTACTCTCCAACACACCGGTGTGCTGAACTGGTATACTACACTATACACTACACTATAATTGTACATGTCGTGGGTTTACTCTCCAACACACCAGTTAGTGCTGAACTAGTATACTACACTATACACTACACTATAATTGTAAATGTTGTGGGTTTACTCTCCAACACACCGGTGTGTTGAACGCATCGCTAATTGGCACGTTCTGTTTACGTGACAAACCTTAATATAATTGGTTGTGTTGGGTGGTGGCGGGTTTAATGGCACGTCTACATTTACGCGATCTCATCCAAAAAGAGTGACCTGGGTCACCAAAAGCACAAAAGCGATGGGGGTACGCGAGCGGGAAAAATACTTGTGACGGATATTCACCCCTCACCCCCCCCACTCCCCCGTGCTCGTGTTTTTGTTCAGAGAGTTACGAACCGTTCTTGGAAGCCATGGGTCTGGAGGACTTGGACGAGAGGCTGGAGAAAATCAAAGAGCTGGTGATTCACTCACTCGCTCACTTTCAGAAGCCTTCACACACGCGCACACACACGCGGAGTTTTTCACATTTTGCTGACTTCTCAGTGCAATAGTCAAAGTGATGTCCTGCTCAAATGAGGTGGTTGTGTGTATGTGGGTACGTTGAACTCCTTTCGCACCGTACGTAGCCAACCGTGCTAATCGGAGGTGCGGGGGAGGTACAAACAACTGAAAACAAAAAGCAGTTTTACAGCCCTGAGGCAGTGGTGTAAATTCCAAGTTCCTATCGCGGCGGTCAACCACTATTGACCGAGTACTCCACAAAAGGGTACTAACTTTACTGACCCTGGAGGGATGATGGATTTAGTCAACCCCCATCCTGGATTTGAACTCACAGCCTTCGGATTACGGGACACTCGCTCGACCGCTGAGCCACCTGGCCCAATCAACATGCACAGCGCTGTACATACAGACCCAGACCGCTGTAGGGTGACTCTGTGCATGTGTAACTACGGGGAGCGGTAGTGCGCTACGAACCCGGCGACCTGGGTTCGATTCCCGCTCGCCGCCAGCACCAGCGACGATTATCTGAACCAGTCCTGGGCCTCCTTCCATAGGTCGACTTAGCCTCAAATGAGTACCTGGTGCGGTGTGTAGTAAACATCGCCACTGGGGAGACAAAGGCGGCCAGGCGTGGTGCTGGCCACCCACCCCCCTCGTGTGCCGTGCCGGCCTTCATAGGTGCTCGCTAACAGCACTTGCCCCAACAGTCTGTTCAGGCTATACGGGGGGGATCTTTGTGTAACTGAAAGAACCAAGAAGATGAGTGATCTTTCCCATGTGCCGCCCAGGTGGAGAACCTGCCCAGATACAACTACCACACGCTGCGCTACATCATCCGGCACCTGCGCCGCGTGGCCGACAACTGCGCGGAGAACAAGGTTTGCAGTCCCTTGGGGTTTCATATATACTCGAACAAGTAGCGGCCAAACTTCCCAAGTAGGACTGTTTATAGAAATGATGATGGTGGTGATTTCAACTTGTAACCCGCCGCACAATAATATTTGCACGTTCTCGGAAAAAGAGATAACAACTCGCAGGAGGCTTGAGCAGGAACCACAGGTAGTGAGCTGGTGCCAACAATTGCCCAAGCTCTGGAGTTGTCTATATATACGTGTGAGGCGCTGCGGTGATGAGATGTTAACTACCTCGCCTGATATACAGTTCGTTGTGGGTTCGATTTCGACCCTGACGCCTGTATATATTTGGATTTTGCACCATAAAAAGTCAAACAAAATAATTGACTCAATAAAATTTATGTCACCCTGTTCAAACGAGCCCCGGGATGTTTCTCACGTGTGTCGAGCGGCCCCGAGTCCTTGGGTGGAAATTTCAGATTCCTCCGTCCAGCCAGCAGTACAATTAATGTGCACCGCAACCGATTGATCGGCAGGCAGCGTGTGGTGGGGTAAAGTGTAGGTAATCCCACCGTCTTCCAACAAGTCTGGCCGGTTGGTGAAAGAGTAGGCCAAACACCCCTCTTAAAGGGCGCTCGAGCCACTTCGAGTGGGACGCCCTTCCGCCAGCGGTGGCACGAGCTGGCAATTGCAGGGCCGCACCTTTACCCTTCAATCAAGTTCGAGTTCATTTCGTTTGAGCAGGACGAGAACTCGAGAGACCAGGGATAGAGGAGTCTCATGGCGAGGGCCGGTCTTCATAAAAAGGGTCGCCGTGTCTTTCCTTGTGGCAGATGAATGCTGAAAACCTGGGCATCGTGTTTGGGCCCACGTTCTTACGATCCCCGGCAGGGGACATGACCAAGCAGCTGATGGACCTTGGAAAGCATAACACGATCATCGAGACGCTCATCAAACACGTGCGTGTCCCCGCCCGTGTGCGTGTCCTCCTGCGTGTGTGCGTGTCCTCCCGCGTGTGCACGTGTCTGCTCCCATCTCACCTTTGTTGATGTCACTGCCCACCGCTCCCATCGCTCGCTACCAGCGTGTCAGATATCCACCAGGCTCTTCCTAAAGCCATCCACAGGCTGACTTCGCCACCCTTTCCGCACCTCTGATGAGCACGGTTGGCTACGACTGTGCGAAAGAAATTCGACATACACACATACGGCACATACATAGAAACATTGCTCATCGACTCTCCGCCATATCAATGAATAAGCGTCTCTTAAAGTCCATGGGTCCGTCTGTGAGTCTATGTATTTTTGTGTAAATCTATGGGTGGTCTCTTTGCAAGTCGACGAACCTCCAAGTGAGTCTACGTGATTTCAACGAAACAATTTCTGCAGGCTTGGGTTACAACCAAAGTTAAAGTGTCCAAATGGGCGTTGGA